GTCTGCTGCCCCCGCGACCCTGTTCCGGATAAAGCTGGAGACGACGAGTACGAGTACGAATTTCATCTTCTTGCACTCAAAACTTATAATGCTCACACTCAAAACATGCGCTCTCTCAAATATTTTCTTTTCTCTCTCAAATCTTTGTTTCTTCTCTCAGATTTAATGCTTATTGCACAGATATTTTCTCCTCTTGCTTGCCTCCTCATCGCGCACAAACTCTGCTCGAGTCTCAGATACGCTCGCAAACCCGTAGGCTCTGCTTGCAGATTTTTTTTGCTATCTTTCGGATGGCGGTTGGATCGTCGCCTAGCAACCTTTCCAGCCAATAGAACGACAGCCTCCGGGAGGGTGCGCTTGTTTAACCCTACTGAGTGTGCCTGTGCTACTACGCCATTTGTAAGAGCATCAGCTGAAACTGCTATTTACAGTAGTTTTGTGGCTGATTGTTGTTTCAAAATAGAAAACCTGGTTTCATTTCTTAGTTATGCCCTGGATTTTGTAGCGTTTGTGGACGCTACCTCGCTACTTGATCAAAGCAATAACGTCACTACAGGAAAGTTACTTGATAAATAAAGCAGCGACGCTACGGTCAAGCTACTGGAACATCTAGTTAAACTAATAGCTTCGCTTCATGTAGCGGCGCTACTGCCCATCACTGTAGTTAACTATAAAAAAGGGCTAACTACACCAGATACACACTGGTATTTAAAAATTATTAAAACTGTTTGTTTTTTTTAAGCAAATGGGCAAATTTAGAATTTAGTGGTAAACTGAATCAGAACAAAAAGATTGCCAATATTTGTATTGTGACATTATATAGAAAAAATTGTTGCAAATGTTTTGCCTGGCGAGATAAAGTTTGTGTAGTAGTAATAAAAAGTGTGCATTTCAAAACGGATTCTTACTCTTAAGTTAGGTAGAAAACCATACTACATTTGATTATATTCACATGTATATTTCATGCATAAGACCTGTCGACACTTTGTATAGGAATAAATTAAACATTCTGTGTATATTGGACACAGATTGAATATTCTTTAATTGTGCTATTAAAGATAAAATTGCCAACCTTTTGACAAAATATAAGAATTGATCTTGAGTTTTCTGAGAACTTAAAAACTAAGGATAGAACCACTGAACTATTTTATAACTGTGACAGGAAAAAAAATACTTCAAGAATATTTAACAAGATATCTCAATTAGAACTAAAAAATAAATGTGTGATTTAAATATTGCTTTCTGAGGTAAGACAGGAAAAGCTAACTTTTTCTAAGCTCTAGTAGAAAGAACAAGTCATAGATGAGGACTTCTTTACAAAACATTTAAAAATCCCAATTGAATTATTCAGTCTTTTATAGATCAAAAAGACGAAAATAAAACAATGTCCCAGAGAGTTTAAGTTGCCATCATGTCTGGTTTCCTCTTTACCTGGAATTTGATTACATTTTGTGACAGATTGTGAATTTCTGTCATTGATACATAAAAAAGCTCAGCATGTTTCAAACAGCATAGATCTGCTGAAAATCCTCTTTAGCCTTTTTAACAATTTCTTTCAGGTGCTTGCAGTAAACATAATTTCTGTCAGATTCAGTGATGTACTTGTATGCCTCTTCTTCTATGAAACTTTGATCTATAACCACTACATTATTATCAGGTGAAAACAGGGGTTCTTGTTTCACTCAAGTAGTTAATTCCCACATTGGATGTTTTTTTTTTTTTTTTTTTTTGGGGTTGGGGGGGTTGGGGGGTTGTCCTTAGAGCAATATATTTTTGTAAATGTCTATGGTGTCCATATTTAAGAAGTTTCTGTAAACCAAGTCATGCTTACAAAAAATGGTTCCACCGCACTTATGTCTATTAATCCCCCAAGGGAATAATTAGTAAAATGCTGATCCAATATTTAAAATAGTTTACTAATAAATAAATCTTGATTGACTGAAACCAATGGCATATTTTAGGTACGTGAAAAAATTATTTGAAAGAAAGAAATCATAAAAAAAAAAATAATAGCTGACCTGTGCGTTCTATGTAGTCAACACATTTTTCAACAAAGAGAGGGATGTGATGCTCTGGAGTCACCAGATTCTGCAGTGGAACGCCAAAGTAGTTACTATCCCAGGTTCTCCGAGTGGGTGGGTAAAGTGGCTTTGGGGGCTTGGTCGATTTGGGCTAGAAGTAAAAGAAAGATGAGACAGTTAAAAGCTATTTAAAGCCAAGCAGGTGGAAAGAATAAAAATTGCAAAGCAACACTAAAACAATATATTTAACACTAACTGGAACAAAGAAGTAAGGAGAAGGAGAAAACAAAAGAAAAGAAATTAGTGAATATTCATAAGAAAGAAAGGAAAGGAGTTGAGGAAAGGACATATATTTTTATATTCAGGACCTTTGAAGAAAATTGAGAACCTGTGGTAGATGAAATGAAAGATGAAGAAACAGAAAAATGTCGTTGAGATTAGGGCTGTATCAAAAGATTATACTAACGTATAAAAAATAAATCACATTCTGCTGATTGTTCACAAAATAAAGTTTATTTTATAAGAAATAGGAAAGAACTCAAAAAACTAGAAATAAAAATACCCACTGATAATAATATCAATTCAGTTAGGTTTTTTTGATCTAGTACAAAAACAGAAAAATGGCAAAAAGATTGAGGAAAGAAATGCCCATAAAGACACAATTATCAAAAGCTATGTTTCTTGGTTAAAGTAGGTTCCAACTCACCTCCACACTGATACTTTTCTTTAGCAGATGTATCTACTTGCTCTCAAACGCCGAGCCAGTCAATAAACATGTTCCAACAATAGCCTCTTGTTCTTCTTAACTGTTTATTCAACAGCATCACCGATGCAGTCATGACTCATTTACTGACATAGGATGATTCTATACTGATTTGCACAACGTTGTCTATTCCATTCCATTTTGTTTTCTCTTTTTTATCCATGTATTTTTTTTTCTCAAAAACACACTTTCAACACTGATTAATCCATGAGGGTATAAACTTCTAACCTGGCAAGCCATAAGGATAATGTGTAGCACTCAGTTGTGCAAAAAAATTACTTACCAAGTTCATCTGCAACAGAGGTAGCAAAGCTATAAAAATGCATACGCACTCATGAGTGTTGGAAACATGACTTTGAAAAGTAACAAGTCATAGTTACTTCTCCAAAAAGTATCTGTGTTAGTAATGCCATTATTTCCCAATGAAAGTACCTTGTTACTAGACAAAGCAATCTGCTTCAGAATGTGGAAGAATTTGGATTACTTTCGAGTTACTCATATCACTCCATATCCATGTAAACACCCTGTGCAATGACCCTGTATAATATTCCTGCTATAAATAAATAAATAAATGAAAGCGGCCATATGTGGAAGCATTGTATATACTGTATATAACCCATGCACCTTTTTCTTCCTTTGGCACCTTCTTCTTCTCTTTTGACTGTTTGAACTGATGTAACAAGTATATTTCTCCATTTTTAGATCAATAAAGTCAATCAATGATCAATATCATATCACTGTCAGCTACAGTCTGGCTATTAGATTTCACTGAAAATTACACATTTATAAAGTCTCTGCAAAGCACAGAAACATTCAGCCTTCAGAGAAGCACAGTTTTTGTGGGAACGCTGTAACTGAATCATCGTCTCTTCTCTGTGCTCATGCTGAAGTTGTGCCTCACTGTTTCGTGCGCCACATACATTTACATGTGCATGTGGCTGTTATGTACGCTTAAACCAAGAAACTGTAATAATAACAATAATTTAACTTTGTTGATCTCACATTGGAGAAATTTACCTCTGCATTTAACCCATTCCCTTGGGGAGCGGCGGGTTGCCATCGGACAGCGCCCGGGGAGCAATCGGGGGATATGGGTCTTGCTTAGAGTGCCAGAGTGGCAGTGTGGGGGAGTGGGTTTTAAACACACAAACTTAGGATTCCAAGCTCTATGCCCTACCATCTAGGCCGCCACTTCCTGGTGTAGTCCTTATTTATACATGTTACTTAATGGATAACAAATCTGTTTAAAGTGTAATGATGAATAACTCCTTACTTTTACAAACTAATTAGTTACAGTGCTAGTTACTGCAAAGGTAAAGTAGTTACTGCAATGTGTTAATAATGTATTAGTCCCAACACTTATACTCATACATGAGTATAGATGTTTGAGATTTAACGATCTCTCTTTTGATATATTTCTAATTTGCTGGATGTTTCCATAATGAAAGGGATAAGCAATTAAGGTAATACTAGAAGAGCACTCTGAGGGCGCAGGCTCCGTAAAGCCGCAAATTTTGTCCCATATTGTTACCTACACCTATAGTTAAAACTATACACATGACTGGGGTCATTACCAAATTTTAATTAATTGTTCTTTGGAATGAGGTGCACCTATGGTAACTTCCTTTGCTAATTTCCTTAAAATCCTTTCATACGTTTATACATAAAGCACAGCGTATTTTTGTAGCCTCTGGTCTTTGTCCTGCTCTTACCTTCTTCATTCGCTCTGCCACCTTGATTGATCAGCAGATTGAGATTAAGAGAGAGGCATGCCTCACCTTTCTTGTGTTTTTGTCTTCGGTATAATACTTTTGCACCCTATTTGAGTCTAATGCTGAAGCTGTCAATATTCACTGCTGCCACTCTTTGCAACACTAAATAATGTTAAAGAATCCTGTAAGAAATTTCTACACCTGGATCATGATGTGGATCACCACCAACATTTAAAGGGGTAATAAAATGATTATATAGGGTATTTGGTGCTGGTCGTTAAAGGGGAACACCGTCTTTTTTTACATTGGCCCCTGGATTTTACGTTATCACAACATGTTTTACTCACCCATATTAGTTTTATGTCATTTGGAGCTGTTCCGCAGATATTCGGTTTTGTTATATCCAAGTAACGTTTTCCTATGGGCAACGAGTTGAAGGCAAAAACTAAACTGTTCATAATTTGTTCTTTATGGTACACCAGTATTCATAACATGTAGGCAAATCACTGTCCCCCAGACATCCGTGGTTATATATTTTTTTAAAACAAAGCGGAGTCTGTATGACGTCATCCGCGCGCTGGACTGCAGTTGTGACAGGCAGCCTGGGCAACAGGCAGCTACGCTCTACCCCTTATATTCATTCGGCTAGCTAATCTGAATTGTTCAATTCCATTTCGAGAGCGAGATCATCTGTGGTATTAGCACTAGACATCTTCCAGGCATATGAGTAAAACTAGCAGCAGTTAAGCAGACAGAATGAACGAATGGTAGCTGGCGCGCGCGGATGACATCATACAAACTCCACAATATAGAAGACTCACCTTTTTTTGGTCCTTTGGCATTTTAGATGTTTTCTTCTTTTTCATTTTCTTATCTTCCTGCTCAGGGTCAGATGTGATTGCAGGATTATCTATACCAATCTTCCATTGGTCAGCTGGGGAGAGTAGTGGGTCCTCCTCACTGCCTCTGTGTGCTCTTCCTTTTTTCTTTTTCTGTGTGGCAGGGCAAAAGTCCTCCCCATCACTGTCAGAGTGGAAACGTCTTTGATAGGCCTTTGTTTTGCTGATCAGGATCTTAGAACGATGCTTGTATTTAGAGGGGCGCCTCACAGCCTGAGACTTTCGATCAAATCCGTTTTCTTCATCTCCTGCTGAATGAAGGCTATGACCAAAAGAGTTTTTCATTTTCACTAGACGGCTGTGTGTGTCTTCAGGCACAACATAGATGTCATCGTTGTGAAAGGCTCTCGATCTAACCAGAGTGTCAGCAGGTTCTGCATAGTTATCTGAAGCTTCCACATCTTCAGTATAAGGAACTTGGCTACGAGGCACCCTGCGATTGCTCCGCATGCCGGCCTCAATAGTTTTAAGCAGGTTTGGGTCAAGCTTTTTCACATTAGGCTTAGGGTGCACAGGTTTAGGCCTGACTGGTGGGGGCACTTTGTGGTTGCGGTCTTGGTCTCCGGTAGGAGTGCTATGAACAGGGTACTCATTTCCTTCTAGGTCAATCCTGTACTTTGCCCGCTCACTGGGTGTGGGGAGAAGTTGAACATCATCACCAATTGGACTGTAAGGTGGAGGAGCCTCATTGTCATCATCAGATTCAAGATAATAGGTGTTGTAAGCTGGCAAATTGCTATGGGGTGATGTGGGGAAAACATCTTCACTGGCTCCAGAGGTGCAGTCACGCGAGGAGCTATCAAGCAGAAAGGCCTTTTCAATGTTTGGCTTTTTTTCTAACACCTCATTGAAAAAGGGTGTAAAAACTTCTGTCTGGCGGTGATACTGTGACAGAGAATAGAGTGCTGTAAATTTGGCAGCAATCTCTGTGGCAATGTGCTCCCCTTCAGTCATCAGTTCTTTAATGGCATCATTCTCAAAGAAGTCAGCCTGGCTATCTGTAATTGCCACCATCTGGACAGGGATCACATCTTGGACTTCAGCCAAGAACGCCCGAAGGGTTGCCATTGATGCCTTACGTTTGGCAGAGTAGACCAGAATATAGCCGTGCACAAGTTCATCTTTGCGGACACCAATAGCAGAGTGGTATGAAAGTATTGTGACTTGAATCCTTTTTCGGCCTTCCCCAATAATCTTGTCAAGTATGAGGGTATTGCTTTGGCCTGGCTGTCCAGCACTACAGCAATGGGAATCTAAGAAAGGTGAGAGAATAAGATCAACACTAAAAGGATCCCAGCACATAGCAGACATGACTATTCTAAGGTCCGTCTCAGCCATGTCTTTTATACAGGGAAGGGGTGCCAAGACATCAAAGTTATGCTTCATATTCTCCAGCACTGCTCTCAACCCCTGCTTAATCTGGAACTCTGTGAATTTTCGAGGAAAAACTCCAGAAGGACCATCTACAAAGGTGCACTGCAACTTGTTTGCAAGCTGTTGGCCTTGGTGCCTCAGAATGGGTATGTTTTTACAAACACTGTCTCTCTGACTGGATAGAATTAGTATAAAAGGAAGCGGCAGGCCAAATTGATCTCGTCGATTCTGTGGTATCTCAGCTCTGATCCTTCCAATGCAATCGCCAATGCAGTTAAGAGACTCCATGGAGTTGAAAACACAAAAGCAGCCATGAGGCTTGAAAGTGGCTGCCCATGTGTGACTGAAAAGCAGAGTGGAGTTGACATCCACAGGAAGAAGCTCAAGCTCATAAATTTTACCATCAACTGTGTACTCATCATCTGTGGACTGAGCTCGGATCTCATTTGCTAGCTCCTGCGAAAGACCATCTTTTCCAAGAAGACAAAGGTTAATCTTTTCAATATTGGCACTGCTATAGTAGAGATTTGAGCGTCCATGGTCTACCTGTGCCAGTCTGTTAGCCAAAACCTGCTCTACTTTCAGATCTACGCAGTTCTGTCCGCTTAAACATGTTTCCTTAGTGGGATGGTAGACAAAGCCAATGTGTTTTAAGAGAAGGGACTCTCTATCTGGGGCAAGTTTCTGCAATGCTCTGTATCTGGGCTCCTCATTAAGCACACTGTGAATTTCTGTCATCTTGTCACAACTTGGAGTTGCATTCAGGTCCAAGTCATAAAAAAGCTCAGCATGCTCAAACAGCATCTCCTGAAAATCCTCTTTAGCCTTTTCAACTATTTCTTGCTGGTGCTTACAGTAAACATCCTTTCTGTCAGATTCAGTGATGTACTTGTAGGCTTCATCTTCCATGACAAAACACATGACTTCCTCCCAAGCTTGCCCTGGACTGATAAAATGAACCCTTTCCAGAGTCTTCTTGAACCTATCTTTCATCTCCACCCTTCTTTTCTCAGATATTAGATGCTGGACATGAGCATAGTAAATTCTCTCCCCATCAGGTGTATTGAGGAGGTCGAAGGGTATTCTGCGATCATTATTATCAATGTGGTCCGTCTCATCCCAAGGTGTGTGATCAAGCATCACAAACCAACACTGGAAATCACTGCGGTTGCGTATTATACTCTGTGCTTCAGGCCATGAGAGGTGTTCAACTTCCTCAAGACTGCAGAAAATATTGTTAAGGGTTTTTGGAAGTGTTACCAAGTACTCTTCTCGTCTGCGTTTAATATGCTCCTGCTTCAGTTGTGCAATATGCTTTGTGAACATGTTGCAAGCTTTTCGGGATCCCTCCAAGGTGATGAACTCATCATAGTCTGGTTGACCCTTCAAGTTATTTGCGACTGTTTTCCACGTGATATGATAGTCTCTCACTGTTTGTACCATGAGCCTTTCAAACCTGTCTGTTACAGAGGCAACAAGCTGTCGTTGGATTTTATAGGCATCCAGGTATGGTATAGTTTTAGGCTTTCCTTTTGTTTTATCAATCTGCTGAATAAGAGCATTGAAGCAGTGCTCTATATTGACATTAAAACGAGCAGATGTCTCAATTAAGATCAGGTTTTTCTTGGTGGCAACAAAGGTCTGTAGTTCCCTCAAGTGCTGGTCGACACATTCATCACACTTTGATGCTGCAACAACAATGGGTTTTTTTGACTTAACGATTTGTGAGTAAAGGCTGCTAATAAACTTCATTTGGTCATCAAATTTCCTATTACAACCCTTGCTAACATCAACACAGAGAACGAAGCCATCAATGCTCAGTTTCCCATCAGGCATCTGCCTCTGGTCAAAGTCTTGCTCCAAGCCTAGCTGGTCTGTGCAGATGTACATAAGTTTCTCTGCTGACTGGAGCTTAGTTGCTGCAGCACGTTTGGTATATGGCTGTAGATTGGTACTTCGATGTGGAAGAAACGTTTGATCATCAATGAACTCAGTCTGTTCAATGACTTGGATCTTACAGTCCAAACCCTCCTCCCCGCGAATGTTCACTTCCCCCCAGTACAGGAAGTGGTCATTGTTGACAACACGTCCACCAAAATCTATTGTACTAAGCACTGAGGTGTGCTCTGAGTAGTAGTTGTCTGCATCTGGACGCACATACCGATTGCATAGGCAGGACTTGCCAACCCCACAATTGCCCTTCTCTTTTTCTGTCCCAGAGAGGCCAACCACACTGACTGAAAATGTCAGGGAACGTGCATCCTTATTCTTGGCCATTATATATGCGCACTCATTGCTAACTTGGTCAGTGTTGGGAATAATAAATCAAGATGGTGATCATTCCAGATCACCTGGTTGGTGGGTCAGAGCTTTTTTCAATGGTTTTGATCAATTTCTTTCCTCCAGTATGGACTGTGTTTTGTCTGGACTATTTCTTCAGGTGTGTCAAAGCAGCCAGGGTCTCCTTTCATTCCATTCCTGGAAGAAATGAAGTAAGATAAAAATCAGAAAAAAATAGACAAAAACATGAGAGAATCCAGACAGTAAAACAGATAAATCAGTTTTAATTTGCTATCAACCATATGAAAAGAAATCTTAGTATTCGTGTTAAAATGTGTTTTGTTAATGTCACTTAATACTGAATATCAGAATTCTAATATCTGGTATACATAAAGATTTCTACACAAAGATCTTGGGGGAATCTTCAACTGTTGTGCTTAATCTTTGGTCTTATGTCACAGTGAGGCGGATTCTGAGGCAGATTGTTAGGACCAACCCACATGCTTTTCTGCATCAATACACGAGGGAAAAGCCCAATTATCAAAATTGGACTTCTTGCCATTAAAAACAAAAGCAGCCCCAGACCATACTTTTTCTGAGGATTATCAAATTATCAAATATGGAACACATGTAACCCACCCACGAGCAAAAAAATAAGTATCTTGGAACTATTGTACAAACCCCACAGGAAGTCTGCCATTTTGAAACAAAGCCACAACTTGGTTGCCGTTCCCTTATGTCATATCTGAGGAAAGTCTTCCTAGAGCTCTTGAGTTACAGACTTCAGACTGACGATGCAAAGACTTAATGCTTTGTGATTCAAAACTTATATGATTTTTTTCGGCATGAAAGCATGTGAGTGTGGCCAGGCTTCAAAATGTTACTTTTCACCAAAGAAACTAGGGATGCACGATATTGGGATTTTGACCGATATCCGATATGCCGATATTTTAAAACTCATGTAGCCAATAACCGATATCGATACCGATGTTAAAGCTGGACAAAAATAATTAGTCATTGAAAATAGCAGTTTTGTTATCCATTTCTGACACTTTGAAAATAATATACTCAAATATATTTTATCGATCTATTTTACTTTCAAAATCTCATGAAATTTCATCGTTCTGTTACAAACTCTCGTGATATTT